TAAATTTATGTATTATACATCATAAATAACAGGAGGTAATGAATTAAACCGTTTTCTTACTTATTTTTTAATATTTTTATAGTCATATATGTTGGCTTGTGATAGAAATAATTCTTTCAGGAATGGAGATATTTGAAAAATTCCTGGGCATAGATTTATATTTTAATAAGTTCCGATAGCAGTAGTCTCGAGAATTTTCAGTCTAAGCAAATTACAAGCGTGGTATTATTTAGATCAAAGTTGTAGTTGAATTTATTTCTATCTATAACTAACGCATTTGATAAGTTATTGTGTATGAGATCCTTTTGTGTCCATTGACAGTTTATTTCTTTTTTTACAATACACCAAGGAATCTTGCAGAAAATTAAACTGGGGCCATCACCTTCCCTGCAAATGAAATGGCCTTGGACTTATTGGAGATGACGAGGGGTATTTCCACAGCATGGTGTGTCTGTCTCTGGCTCAAAGAGATGATCCTGGATTAGGAAACCTTCAAGGAAACCATTGCGATCTGCCTTAAACAATGTCAAATATTCCCGTGAGGTGATCGGTCTGATGCACTTCTGATCAGGTTTCAGAAGACGTGGCACCCACCGAGCAGAAACATTCGTCAAGTCACTTGTGCAAAATATTCTCAACTCACTCATGGGATATGCTATTAACATTGGTTATTTGATTTATAGTCAATCGTCTGTCATCCAACACGATCAATGTTTACCTCGGTGGTTGGCAGTTGCAGGACGTCCAAGGCCTTTGGTCATCTTCAAAACTCTTCCTCCTCCTAAATTCAGCTTCCCTCTTTTGCACTGTTTATTAAGTTGGAGTTTCCCCCGATGTAGCAACCATGTAAGCATGAATGTCCCTAGAGTCTAAATCCTTTTTCTGCAGGTACTTCTACAACCACGATGCTAAATTTTGGCCATTTTCAAGAGAAGTCGCTAATAGTTATATCTGAAGTTTTCTTTGAATAGTCAGGTGTTAGTTTACATGGAAAGAAACAATGCAGTTATTAATAAGAAGATTAATTCATGAAAGATTTCACAACCCTAGCAACACTCCTTCGTACCTATGAACCTTTATCCACCAACATATATATATATATATATATATATAGAGAGAGAGCAGCTGTTGTAGGGTTCAGAATTGTGGACCCCATATAGGTACCATATCAATCAATTCACAAAAGTTGTCTCCGCGCGTGGCTATACTTTTGATTATAGTATCAAATGCTGATCTTCTTGCAAAATGCATCATTGGTGGAATTGAGACATTTCTGGTGCAGTTACAATTTTGCTGGGCCGATCATGTTGCAAGAATGAGTGACGACAGGATACTTAAGGTCCTCATGTATAGCCAGCTTGACAGTGGACAAAGGAGTGTTGGAAGGCCGTGGCTCAGGTATGGAGTGGCATCGCAGCTGTCAATAGTACCTCATAATAACTTCGAGCGAGTTGCCCTGGATAGAAATAATTGGAGATATTTGTGGCAGAGTGGTATTAGAAATTTTTAAAATCAGACGTATTGACCAGTTAAGAGGCGAAAGACAACAGCGAAAAGCATTAGTAAATATTGCTGTGGCTATGTTCCGAAATCCTCGCTGTTGCACAATATGTTGATTTATATGTAGGTCACAAGATAGATTGGTGATGTGCCACATACGACACAAACATAAAAACTGAATGAGGTTGTCCGATCCTCATACGTCGAAATCGATGGGTTTGGGTTGGTTTATTTTCCTTTACGGCATGTCGACCTCAATGGGTTATTTAATGCCGACAATTTTTATTGCTGGTAATATTTTTTTCCAAAAAAGTATTGATGGTAATATTTTTTCCCTTCAAAAATCTATTCCTGGTAATATTTTTTTTAAAAGATGTATAGCTGGTAATATTTTTTTGAAAGTATTGCTGGTAATAGTTTTATCCTTCAAAAAATTATTGCTGGTAATAATATTTTTTACAAAACATTTCTGGTATCAAAACCTATTTTTACACTTTCATAGTATTTTGATCCAACTATTTGCCCATAGCTGGCACCCTAGAAGGTTTTACCACCCCGGGTCAGGGTGGATCTGGGAACACCGGCAATTAAAAGGGGGTTCCATGCTCTTCAAAACCTCCTGATCAGAGGCCTTGCTGTTGGACGTAGTTTATCAACTTACCCGGGACGCTCGAAATTGATGGAAAAGTTCATCATATATATATATATATATATATATATATATATATATATATATATATATCGTATATGGTATATTTAAATAGCAAGAAATTATCCAAACAACTTGTGTTAAATGTTAAATTCAATCGACAAGGACTGACTTGTTTAATTTTACTGCATTTCCCACCTAATTTTCGAATTAGATGTTGTATATCCGGATCAAAATGGTGCATAAACTGTATGTAGTTTCGATGGTCTCAGTTATAATTAAAAACTTGGTGCTGCCTGTGTGGTAGACGTCTTTATAGAACGCTGGGATTCAAATTAATCCAATGTGATGTCATATGTAAAACAGTTACATGAAGCTAGACTGCACCAGAAAGGAATGTAGAAATATGTCTAGGATATTTAACAATACCCGAGCTCACAGATATATCTATTACTTATTACAGTGCTTGCTTGTGTGTCACTCATGGCTGGCCAAGTGCCTGAATAATGAAGTTGAAAATTAGAGTATAAGGTTAACTTGCGGATGGATGGCGGTGACTTCTAAGGAAACTCACCACAAGTTAGTTTAGGGTCAAAACTACTATTCATAGTCAAACTGCAAAACGAGACATCATTTTTCCACAACAACGTATAAACGAGATGCGCGCTAATTGAAGACGTCGATGTAAACATTTATTTATTAAACAAAAAAAATTCTGATGCCAGTAGTGTAGCGGTTTAATGCAGCCAAATTGAAATCAGAGAGTCGAGTTCAAACTGTGACACAGATATTCAATATTCATTTCGCACTAATGCCGTTGGGAAAAGAATGAATAGGAAGCAATTAATATTGAAAAAAGCTTTTGCATGAAAAGAAATCCCACACCGTAATTACGCATTTTGAAAAAAAAATTCCATAAAATAAGATAAAATTGAAGGAACAGATTTTACTTTTAGTTTTATATTTATTTATATTTTTGAATTATATTTATGATTCACACTGAGAAATATCTGTGGATCTCAGTTGAATTTAATGTTAATACAGAATATTTGTTCGAAGGGAAGTTGATCTGCGGTGAAGTCAATATGTACTTAAGAAATACCATAGTTGACTTCGAATTGTGTCACACCAGAGCCCCAGAAGAAGCCAGGGACCCTCAGAGAGCTGATCCGGGAGATGGTTTTATAACCACTGGGCGCAGATTCACGCCTCGTAGGATGTCAGTGTCTGCTTTCGACATATAAACAGGTGATCTACCCACTGCACTTAGGATATGCACAGATGGGAAAACTGGATAACAGGAAGATATATAAGCGCTTCACCCGAGATGGAAAAGAGTGAGAGTCTCTCACATTCACGTGAGAAGATCCATGTTCGGAAAAAGCTCCAGAGTCATATACCCTTCCGCTAATATTAAATGACGAAATCTGGAGTTGAATAAACAATAATTTTATCGATAAGAGATTTTAGTCTCGATTTCTTATTAGTTTTTACATCGATGAAATTACATTTATTCATTTCAAGTCAAATCACGATATTAATTTTTCATTATATATTTCCTATGTACAAATCTCATTGATTTATTCTCGGATATATTTTTTAAGGCAATACACCCCAAGCAAGGCGGG